GGCAAAAAAAAGTGGGAGGGGGGGGGGGGGGAAGAGGCAGGTCTAAAATGAGGATTTCTTTTAAATGCATGTAAAACACTCTCCTCCAGCAGGCTCCAAGCACAGCCACACTGCATAGAGCCGGGCGCTCCTTCCGCACCCCGCCCTATCCCACCCCACGCGCACAAACGAAAGCCCAAGCGAATACGCAGCCTTGAAGCTTAGCCCGCTCTGGCTGTGGGCCAGCATGAGAAGTGAATTCCAGAGGCAGCAGCCTGAGCAAGCACAAGGCCCTCCCCCCCCCTCCCCCGACACCTGGATCTATAAACCCAGGGGCTTGTCCCAGTAGATCGTGACTGGCTCGACTGCTCCCAGGACCCTGGTGGGTGTTGCAGCCCCACGTCTCGTGTTGCGGGGGTGACAGAGCGCTGCGTGGGAAGGCCTGTTTGGTAGCAGTGTCCAGGCGGCCTGGCTCCTCTCCAAGAGCATGGGGTTCAAAGGCAGAGCTTTAAAAACAGACTTCTGGCAGGGAGTAGCCGACGGGGGCTGGATTGCTATTTAAACTGTCAGGGTTGTGTAATCTTCCTCTGGCCTGTGCTGACTCAGAGTTCCTCTTTCACAGTGGAATTTGCGTGGGAAGGCCTGTTTGGTAGCAGTGTCCAGGCGGCCTGGCTCCTCTCCAAGAGCATGGGGTTCAAAGGCAGAGCTTTAAAAACAGACTTCTGGCAGGGAGTAGCCGACGGGGGCTGGATTGCTATTTAAACTGTCAGGGTTGTGTAATCTTCCTCTGGCCTGTGCTGACTCAGAGTTCCTCTTTCACAGTGGAATTGAGATGAGTGTATGTGGCGGGTGGGGAGGGGGAGGGAGGTGGAAAGGCTGCCCCTGACCCCAGTTGCTGATGTCAGTGTCCCTTTCTGCTGTAGCCTGGCTTTCCAGCAGTACTGACGGCAAATGCCCTCCTCCAGCACCTTTCACATGGCTAACAAGTCAGGCTGGCTGCAGCTGGGGAGAAGAATTCATAATGTGCACTCCGCTCCTTGGGGAATCTACTGAGCCTTTTTGCAGTATCGTTCCTGGCTCAGGGAGGCAGGAGCCGGAGGAACTGGGGGGTTGGGTCCTGCTTCTTTGCGGTAGCTGCTCAAACAAGGCTTCCAGGAGCCAATTGGGGCCTTGCCCTCTGACGTCTCAACCTGTTGCAGAAGGCCGATTGCATTTGTCAGTTCAGAAGATGGTGGCCTTGAGCCAAAAAGCTGGCTTTAAAAAAAAGAAATGGTTAGCGCTGCCTGGTGATTCGTGCAGGGACTGATCATCAGGACTCCTGGGTTCTACTCCCTGCTGCACTGTTAACGTTAACAGCATCGTCTCTGATCTTAACCATGTCATTTCAGCCAAGATTTTTTTACCCTGACTAGTGACCTTTTTTTTGGGGGGGGGGGGGTGCCCAGCTTGAGACCCTTCTAGAAGGGCCTGCTTTTTCTTCGACTCCTTGTTCATGTCCATTCCACGTAAGTGAGTGCTCACCACACACACCTGTGCCAGGAGACTTTCCCTCAGCAGTATCCATTGCAGCATCCCCTGGAATGACACCTACATGTTGCACTATATAGGGCGTTGCCAGACTCCCTCCATCCGTTCCATCTTGTTGCCAGTGATGGTGCTTGGACCTGCAATGCTCAGCTCTTGCTGTTGTCATCTAATCCTTATTAGTTGTTTTACTTGTGGGTGGTTCAGGGATGGACAATAATTTTTGCTGGAGGGGCCACTCCGTGAATTTGGAAAGTGGTCAGGGGCTGCGCTCTTCCATGATATTAATGGAGGAAGTGGGGGGTCTGGGTCTGGGCGCAGAAGGGAGCTTTTAGTAGGGGACTGGGGTACAGGAGGAGGTGTGGGGTCTAGAAGGGAGTTTGGATGAAGGAGGGGGTTGTGGCCTGGGGCAGGGGATTGGGGTGCAGGCTCTGGGTGGACTATGGGTGCAGGAGCAGGGGTTCAGAGGGTATGGGTAACATGGGGTAGGGTTGAGGAGGAGGAAGGAATTGGGGTGCTAGAGGCAGGCTCTGGTCAGGAGTCACTTACCTAGGCAGCTCCTGGCCAGCATCCAAGCAGGTCCCTCAGGCCAGCTGCTTGCCTGCCCTGTCTCTGCATGCTGCATATGCTGCTCTGACCTCTGTGAGCCCTGAGGGGAGGATACTCCAGCAGCAGCCCTTGACTGCAGGGGGTCCAAGGTCCCCGTGGACAGAGGCTGCTCTAGCCCATGTCCGTGGGGAGCTCGGATCCCCTGTGGACAGAGACTGTTGCCGTGAAGCAGCCTCTGCCCATGTGACAGGCCCAGGCTTGCTGTGGAAAGAGGCTGCTCCGCAGGATGCGAGTAGCCTATGCCCATGGCAAGCCAGGGCCCACTGTGGGCAGAGGCTGTTTCAGGTCAACCACTCCTGGGGTCCTCCCTTCCCCCCACGCTGCAGCACCATGGACACCCAACACCAGCTCCTGTTTCCCCTCTTGCTGCCTCTGATACAGAGGCAGCAAGGGGAGGAATACAAGTAGTCAACTAGATTAACGATAAGCCTAGGCATATTGGTTAATTATCTAGTCCAGTGTTTCCCAATTTTATTTGGCCATGGAACCCCTAGGGCTGCCTTAAAAAAAGAGGGGGGGGGGCTGCCATATTTTGAGCTCCCTCCCCCAAAAAAGCCCTGCCGTGGATCTGTCTCTTAAAGAGGGGTAGAGAAGTGCCTGCTTTTCACAGAACCCCAGGGTTCCACAGAGCACCAATTAGGAAACACTTGTCTAGTCAACTGCTTGTTGACATCCCTATTGAAAACACACTAGAATGAGGCAGCATGGGCTTGTAAGGCCCTGCCTAGGAGCCAGAAGACTTGGGTTATGTTCCCAGGTCTAGCAGTCAGCTGTTGTGTAACTTTGGGCCTGGCACCTCACCTCTCTGTGCTTGTTTCCCTAACATATTTTGGCTGTGTAGATTCTCTATATAGGCCTAGCACTCCAGGGCCCCAATTTCTTTTGGGGTATGTAGGTGATACTGGAATACAAGCAATGAAAATTAGCAATAACTGGCTGGGTGCTTTTGGGAATGGGAATCATTTTACTCCCTACTCATTGCAGCTGTGCCTGCTTGACACCAGTGCCTCTTGTGGTGTGCAGTGCTGCATAGCCGTTGCTGGCTTGTCTCCTGGGTGGCTCTGGTACAGCAGTGGCTGAACTAGGTGACAAGAGAGAAGTGGTGACGTAGTGCTGATAGTGTCTGTGTGTCTCTCTCCTCGCAGGTGGTGCTGCTGCTGGAGACCTGAGCCGAGGTCAGCTGGAAGATGACGGAGTACAAGCTGGTGGTGGTTGGCGCAGGAGGCGTTGGGAAGAGCGCTTTGACAATACAGCTCATTCAGAACCATTTTGTTGATGAATATGACCCCACGATAGAGGTGAGCAGTCTGCAGACTCACTGAGATGGGAGTGGGTCTGTGAGATTCTTCTGTGATCTTCAGCTTTTTAACTTTGCGGTGGATTCCAAGAGCTGCCTGTTTTAACGGATTAGAGAGAGATCAAATCTGAGAAGCCAAGCCAAGGGCCTGAGCTACAATTCCAGGGTTGGCTCTAGCCTAGTGACTCTGAACCTTTTCTCTACCAGGTCTTCCCACCTCTCCCCAGTAGAAAGATGGAGAAGGCACGATATTTGCAATTTTTGCCCCACTACAGCTCTTCCGTTGAATTCACACGTTAGCCATGAGAACTGATGATCCACTTTCCTGGCGTGTTGTGTGCTTGTGCTTGCAGTGCACACGTTGCCTTCTTGAAAACACATTTGAGCTTGAATGGGTCACAGGCACGGTCTTCAAACAGGTAACAGTAGAGAAGAAACACAGGCTAGATCAGGTGGGAAAACTGCTAGTGGAAGTATGTTTGAAAAGAATCCTCAATGGAAATATCTATCCCAGGCTTCTGTAGTTGGTGGAGGGATCAGCTTCCTTAGAATGGCTGGGGCTCCTTTAAAGTCAAGAACTCCCTTTCTAGGGTTGGGGCAGCTCGTTCTCTGATCCATCCTTGGGGAGTTGGGTTCAGATCCTAGTGGGGGCTCTCAAAATCTAGCTATCTATTCCCCTGGCCCCTAAAGGGTTAATCCAGCCCATGGAGCCAGAGTGCAAGGGGAATCCAGTTGTGCCTAGATATATGGTTGAGGTGAGTGTCACTTTTTTTTTTTCTTCTGTTCTGTTGGTGGCCAGGTCAGTGAGGGGTTTAGTTTTTGGTTTTGCTTCTCACTTGTGTGGCCCCCGCTGATTTTTCTGTGCCCCCCCCCGACCGCTGGTTTACAGAGCGGCTCATGTCACCAGTCCCCCTCGCTCAGTACCCTGCCCTGAGTAGGCGCCAGTGCTCACTGTTTCCATAAGATCTCTAGATTAAAGTTTTTTTCAAACTTGGGAAACCACATTTCTACGTTAGAAATTTCAGCTACACTGGCTGGTTCCTTCTCCCCTCTCCCCCGCCCAACACACTTATAATTCAGCCCCCCTGCCCTTGCTACTGTCACCAGCCCAGCTGAGACAACAATGATGAGAGCACTAGTGTGGATAAAGTGCTGGTGAGCAGCAGGATTTTAACCACTCTGTCACCTAACCTTACTCAGAGTCCAGATTTGTACTTGAAATGCTGGTGGACTCTGGCATATGTACTCTGTGGCTGAAAGGGTACTAGCAATGAGTCCTGGGGAGTCCTCGCACAGAAATGAAGCGTGTTTCTCAGCAAGAACTTCCTGTCCTCACCGCTTGAAGTTTATACTGGAACCCTACTAGGAACAAAATTTGTCTAAACAAAGCATTTTGCTAGTATCACTTTTACAGTGCTACCTAAGGGCCCCGCTTGGAGCCCTGCTCTGTGAGGTGCTGTATAGACACAGCTATTGCCTTAGGCTACGTCTACACTACGAGTGTTGTCAGCAAAAAATATGCTAATGAGGGACTCATTTGCATGAGTTGCAATCTCATTTGCATATTTCCTGATAATCTGTTTTTGCGCAAAAACAAGCAGTGTGGACGTTTTCTTTTTGCGCAAAACCCTTTTTCCCCCGCAAGATCCTTATGCCCCAAAAAAGGTGGCTTGATAAGGATCTTGCGGGGGAAAAAGGGTTTTGCGCAAAAAGAAAACGTCCACACTGCTTGTTTTTGCGCAAAAACAGATTATCAGGAAATATGCAAATGAGATTGCGACTCATGCAAATGAGTCCCTCATTACAAGTTTTCCTTGGCAAAAAATATGCTAGTGTAGACGTAGCCTTGGAGCGCTTACAGCCTATATAGGCAAGGTGGAAGAGTTAGCTCTGTACTGTTGCGGAGATGAGGAAGGGAAAGATTAAATGGCTTGTCTGAGGTCGCCCAGAGAGACGGGCAGACCCAGTGGCTGGAGCCAGGTATCTCAAGTCATAGGCCTGCACCCAAGCACAAAGCCAATTCCTCCTATATCTCTGTAGCTCAGTCCTAGAGCAGGCAGGACTTAGAACTATAGTGTGTGACAAACATAAGCTCGAGCCCCTTTCAGAGTCCTGGAGACACAGCTCCAGTCTGAGCCTGAGCATCTACACTACAGTTCAACAGCCTCTTCACCCAAACCCAAATCAGTTGGCGTGTGTGCCCGCTGCGTGGTTTTAATGGCTGCATAGTCGTACTCTTGGGCTCTCCTGCCCCAGCCCCTCGTCTGAATTGTTGCTGCAGAAGCTCACATGCTTCCTTAGAAATCTGCTCCAGGTCGTTTTGCAGGACTGTACCATGACAGGAGATGCCTGTGCAGGGTAGCAGCAGTTTCACAGGACTGTCAGGAGCAGAGGCCTGCTCTTCTCTTGCATGGGGAGAGGTGGAACCACCCCCCTCCCTGTTGCGTGGGAGTGGAAAGGAGAGTGCTCTGACCTTTCGACTGGTTGCTTTTCAGCCTGTGCTGGCCCTCCTGCCTTGTCTGCGGGGTGCCTGCTGCACTGCTCCCATGTACTGTAGAGATTTGCTCCGTGTAAACACGGCGCTGGGAATGTAAACCCTGAGCTCTAACTCCATGTCCTGCAGCCAGCATGCTGCAGCTTCGCGTCAGTATCTCCTGTGCCTCTGAAATGTGTTCATTCCCTCTGCCCACTGCGTGCAGGCCAGGCAGCCCCATCCCATAGGCATATCTGGTTCCCCCCACCATGCCTTCTCCCCTTCACACTCTCCTAGGAACCTCACACCACTGAGGCTTGTGCTCTGATATATAGTAGGGATGTAAGATCCTGGTCAACCAGTTAATTAGAGCAGCCCCTGTTGGCGGTGGGCCCCTGCAGGGCTGGAGCAGCCCTCTTTCTGTGGCAAATGGGGAGCTGGTCCAGCCCCCACTGGTTAACCGGAACCAATAAGCCTCACCTGTTAAAGGTGAGGCACCTTTCACATCCCTAATAAATAGTTTTCTTCTTTTCAGTTAACTGTATTTGCCTGCTGCTCCCCTGGCCCTGCCCCGAGTTAAACTAGAATGCTGTGTTGGTGGATGTCAGGAAGCAATCTCCTTTCAGGAGCAACCTCATCTCCCTAAAACTGCACTGCAACACCAGGGCCGTTGTGGGAGCAGGATCAGCTGCCTTCTGAATAACTGGGTAGAAGCAACAGCTGGAGGCAGAATACGGGGCAAGATGGTCCTGAGGGGTAGTTCAGGGCTTAGGTACCTGGCTCCCATTAACTGGAACCTAACGTGCGTTGTTTCTCGCCTCCCCCTACTCCCTCCCCCATGTGAGCGGGGAGAATTCTTGCGGCACTTGGCGTTCATCCTCGATCAAGGCCCTGGCTTGGATTATGACAGCAGCTCCCTTGCTGAGCGGTTCTCAGTTCCATTCCTGGGCATCAAAACTAGCTTTCCAGGGTCCTCCCGCCGTAAGCCTCCTGTTGATAAATGAAACTCACGGAGCCAGGCTGAAGCAGACTCAGCAAATTGCCTTCCTGCAACTTTGGTGCTGAGCTGGTGTTGGGGGAGAATTGCTGTGAAGTTGTGCTACAGCGCGCGTTCCCTTCAGGCGTGGGAGAGCCATGGGCCCAGGGTCTCTTTCCTCTACGAAACCCGGTCTGGCATGTCTTGGGCTGGCACCCACTTCTGGGGGTTGCATTCTTTCTGCACCTAAGAGGACTTGCATGGAACTAGAGGTTTGGAAAGCCTGCCAGCCAGTCTTCCAGTGCACTGAACCAGGTTCTGCATGTCTTAGCCTGGCCCTTCCAGCTCTCCCTCTGGGTCGTCTCTCGCTGGCTGTGGCTCTAGGAAAGTTCAGTGTTCTCAGCTGCCTGAGCCACTCTCCACATGCATGTGGGCTGGAACAGGCAGAGAAGCTGTTCCTTCCTTAGCAGTGGGGTGCAGCATTCTGTTCTGTGTCACTGAGCTCAGCCCAGATGAAGCGGGTGCGGGTTCCAGTCCCTGTGCCTCTGAGCTCAGCTCTGCCTTAGATGATCCCCTTTCTGTAGTGCATAGGGTGTGAGTAGGGTGGGGAGTTGAGGTTTCAAGGGCTCTGAGAACTGGAATGTTTGGTTTAAGCTACAGGTAGCTGGGATCCTGGTTCCAGGGGTTTGATGTCTGCTGTGTCTTCACAACTAGGTCGCCTGCAGAAAGAGGGACCCAAGTGATGGTGCCTGGTTTTTTGTTTTGTTTTTTTTAGGGCGGGGAGGAAGCAGAAAGTAACATGAGCAATGAAAGAAAATTCCTTGGCATTTTTGGTCCAAGCTGGGCAGAAAACTATCTCCTGGGAACCTTCGATCCCATCTCACTTTATCTGAGCTGCAAACATACAAAGTCTTCTCAACAAAACCTCAAGGAACTCGCCTGTTTCCTGCTTCTATTATGAATTTGAAATTGAGCCTCCACTTCTGTTCGGAGCCTTTGCAGTGAACTCAGGGTCCCCTGGAACCTTAGGGCATAATCAGAAGTTTATGTGGAGTTGAGTTTTTGGCTCCCTTCAGCCAACTCTACCTGGAGAGCGAACAAAAAGTGGATACTTTCAGCCAGAGGTGTGTCCTTTGGACACATGCCAGGGACCACTGACTTGTCAGTAAAGGATCTAGATGATAGTAACCTGAGAGACAGACAGACTGCCCTTTGAATGCTTCCCCCTTGCTGCCAGTGCCATCAGGCGGTTTGGGATGGTTGTGAAGATGTTTAATTTAGAAGGGCTAGTGATTGAATGCTGACATACTGGCCCCTAGGTATATCACCTTCCTGGGACACCTTAATACACAGCAGGAAATTGGATTTGGAACATGCTTTCCCCAGTCACTCTAATCTACTGGTGGGTTCAGTAGTTGGAGGGTAAAAGGGATCTTTTTCTCATCAATCATTGGCGGGGGGGAGCACCTCTAAGCGCGTGGGACTGTTTCGTTTGTGTGTTGAACATTCTGAACTGGGAGTCTCTGCATTCAGGGATAGAGCCTTTTTTACTGCAATGTCCACAGTCTTTCCTGGATAAGAACAGCTTTGATAGGAACTGGTTAAGCCTCTTCCATGGACAAGTGAGGCGTGTTTGCATGTGGACTTCCACCTCCTTACACCCTCGGGGCCAATGGAGCTGTGGGCGGTGCCCTCAGAGACCAGACCCTTGCTCCTCTTGGCTAATGAAGGGCAGGGTGCCAGTTGCTCTGTACTATTGTTGGTCTCTTCTGTTACTGCTCTGTCTCCAGCCTTCCCTTTTTGGCAAGGGTTATTGAGAAGGTCACAGCTGTGAATTCTTGGACTTCTTGGATCCCGGTGGGTCTGGTTTCAGGCTTCGCTGCATCACATGGAATGTTTTGAAGGTGTGCTTGGTGGTTGATCTCCTAGGGATGGTCAAAGGGAATGGGTCCCCATTGACTTAGCACTCTCCACAGCCTTTGCAACTGTCGCAGACCTTTTCTGCTGCTGCTACTCTTCAGCTGGAGAGCAGTTTTTCTTGTGACTGGGGTAAAGAGGCAGTAGCCCATCTGCTTGCATTATGGTGGCTGCACCTTAGCAACTGAAAGAACTAAACATGTAATTTTGGTTTTAAAATTAATTCTTGGAGTTTTCAAAATATTACAGAGTGCAGCCAGAACTGCAGAACTGTTTTTTTGTTTGTTTGTTTTTTTCCACACACACCTTTGATTTCTGCCTTCCCACTTCCTGTCTTGCTGTGAAGGCACTTGGTTGCGTGTATGCTTTGTTTTTGAGGTAGGATTGCTTGGAAGGGACTATGAAACATTCAAACTGTCCTAGCTACATCCCCTATGGATAGCCTGAGCAGGGAGGCAGTGTGATATCACCTAACATGTGGGGCTTTAGGAGCCTGGCGTTTCAAACCCTTACTGGATTTCCACGGAATCTTCATAAGTGACTTATTTTTTTTAAATTGCTTGTAATTTGTTCACACCCAGTTTAGAAAGCATCTGTTTGGAACGCTCTAGAATGAACCCCATTCACACCACACACCAGCTTTCAAGGTTCAACCATTTTTGTTTTCTCCTTGTGAAAAATGGGTAGCAGCAATCCGTTCTGGAGCTGGGATGGTATTTGGGGCTTTTCCAGAATGGAATGGATTTTCCTCCTGCTGTCCCAACTGTAGCTTTGAACATAGTAGACCAGTTGTGGGAAATGTCCAGAATTTTTTGAAGGGATTTAGTGAACATAAAGGGAGAAGGGTTATTAAAACCAGCTGGCAGCCTCAGCGATAGCGTTTGCTACTAACCTAGTACTACAATAAACATTTGGGCAAAAGGGAGAGGTTAGTGATTTTGGGTGGCCTCAGATGTGCCAGATTTACAGAGTGCTGAGCATATTTGGGGCATCTAAAATCATGAGTGACTTCTGGAAATCAAGGCAGCTCTCATGGCTGGCAGCAATAGACTGGATTTTGAAAAGGGAACACAAGGAAAATCTTTGCAAGTGAGATGCTCTATGCTTGGAAATTCCCAGGGAATTGCTGGGAGGCTTGGCAGCTGGGCCATGCAAGACTAGACTAGATGAGATGCCATAGAACAGTGGTAGGGCACCTTTTTTTGGGTCGGGGCTGCTGACCCACAGAAAAATCAGTTGAGGGCCACACACAAATGAGAAACAAACAAAACAAAAACCCAACCCCACATCTCACTGACATGGGCCCCCGGCTGAGAAGCAGAAAGACACACCTAGGCTACGGTGTAAGGCCAAAAATGAGGGGTTCAGTGTGTGGGAGGGACCTGCCAAGAAGCAGCTTGGAGTGTAGGGTCTGGGCAGGAGGGAGGATGCAGAGTGTGTTTTGGGGGTTGGTGGGCCTTGGGGCGTGGTAAGGTGCAGGACCGGAGGAGGGTGGAGCAGTGGGCTGGGAGTGGGAGGTCTGAGTGGGAAGGGGCAGAAGCAGGCTGGGATAGAGGGGTCTGAGTGATGGGGGGAAAGGGGGCACTTACCTACCCAAGGAGCTGCACCAGGTAGGTACATGCCTCTGTCTCCCCTGCTGCTCCTATTGGCTGCAGTTCCTGCCAATCAGAGCGGGGGGGGGGGGGGGGAGGAAATGCTAGGCAGTGTTTTGCTGCGCTGCCATTTTCCCCAGCCAGGAGAGGTGGAGTGGCAGCGTGCAGAGCTGCTTCATCCCCCCCACCAGGCAGAGCCTCTGGATCGGATCTGGTCCTGTCTTGCCTAAATCTGGCCCACAAGGCTAGGAGCGCTGGTGCACTGGTCCCACAGGGCTGGAGCACTAGCACTGGCTCCCCTATCCCGGGGGTGGGGGGAGGAGGAGGAGCGGAGCCGGGAGCCTCAGGACAGATCCAGGCAAGCTGGGGGCTGCATCTGGCCCCCCGGGACGTAGGTTCCCCGTCCTTGCCATAGAAGGTACCCTATAGGGAGCAGTGCTGCATTGGCAAGGGCTGGACGGGATGATTAACAGGTCTCCATCTCAGTCTCCAACAGAGGGCTGGTTAGATGCAGGTTGCACTGGAGCCTTGTGAATAGAAGTGGCGGGAGGTGTCTGGGCCTCACATGAACTCCAGCCCCCTCTCACCCACACCCTGTTTACCCGCCTGCGTGTTCCCAGGTGTGGCCGCAGGAGGTGACGAACCACCGCTGGGCCTTGCAGCTCCCTGAGAAAAGCTGCTGCAGGAAGGGAAGAGGGAGGAGCCCTGTACTAAATAAAGTTAGAAAAACAGCTGTCTTGGGCTGGGTGGCACTTGTGTCAAAGGCCACCTTGTCTGCCAGGAGTCAGCCTTGTAACTCAGAGGAACAGGCCAGAGGTGGAGTTGGCTGCTGCTCTGGCAGCAGAAGGAGAAGCCTGTTCTGCCGCTCCCCTCCTCCCCCCCTTTCCATTTTCAAAAGAGACTGTCAGTTTGACTGGCTAGAGCAAGGCCTGAGGCAGGCAGAGATTGTGCAAATCTCACCCCCCCCCCTCCACACCCACCCATGTCTTTTTTAAGCCTGGGCCCCCACCTGCCATGCTGCTAGTGCACCACAATCCTGACCAGCAGCAGTGGTGTTTTGGGGGGGGGGGGTGTATTAGGGTGAGCCGAAACTCCCTTCTGCTGGTTAGCTGCTGTAGGCAAGGGTTGGAACCCCAGGCTCATGTGGCCGGAGACCCCTGAGTTCCCTCCCAGCGGCTTCTCTCCACATGACTGTCCCTTTCTGTTGGCCCTGCAGGATTCCTACCGAAAGCAGGTCGTCATTGACGGGGAGACCTGCCTGCTAGACATCCTGGACACGGCAGGCCAAGAGGAGTACAGTGCCATGCGCGACCAGTATATGCGGACAGGGGAGGGCTTCCTGTGCGTCTTCGCCATTAACAATACCAAGTCCTTTGAAGATATTCACCAGTACAGGTCAGTGTCCTCGGCGGGGCTCTTCCCCTACAGGCTGGGTTGCGGTGCTGCTTCCCTTTTTGAAGGGTGGGCCTGGCTGCGCCACCTGCCAAGACCACGCTCATACGGAGTGGCAGCCCTGGCTGCCAGCAAAGACAGCGGCGTCTAGCGGCGATTCCCCAGGGAAGGGAAGGAGCAGGCGGCTAATATCAGTGGCTCCGATAAAAGCCGTTCGAGGGGGATCGCTGGTGGCCTGGGGGGACGTGGTAATGCAGTGTTGAGATGTTTACAATGGCTGAGAGAGCTGATCCTTTCTTTCCTGCCCCCCTTCTCCCCCCCGCCCTTCCATCTCTAATTAATGGCAGCGCATCGGGAGCGAAATTGATCTCTGCAGTTCCAATTGTGCAGGCAGGCTGGGGGGCGGGGAATGGAGAACAGACTAAACTGTTAGGAGAGAGGGAGGGTGTCTAATAGCATGGGCTGCTTCAGCCTCAGCTACTTGTCAGTATTGCCGAGCACATAGCTAGGGCGAGGCCCTGAAGTGTATATAGCGCGAACAAACAAGCCGAGCAGAGAGCGGAAGGGGGAAGAGAGGCGAGGTGACTTGCCTGCGGCCACCCGGTAGGTCTGTACCAGAGCTGGAAGAAGACTCCAGGCCCCCAGAATAGTGCCCTATCCATTGCACCAGGCTGCCTGTCCTGTTCTGTGCCCAGACAACATATGCAGTTTGGCAGTAGGAAGGACTCGAGTAAAGCTCCAGACGATGACCCAAAGCAATGGCTGCTCTCTGGCGGCTACCTAAGGAGCAAGTGGCTGGCCCAGGCTGCAGAGGGTGTGATCTTGTGCGGAGACCCTGGCATCTCTTACTGTAACCGGCTACTTTACACCCTCTCCCGAGGACATGTCTTTGGGACAGATATATGACAGCTGGTACTCTAGGGATGCAGCCAGCAAGTGGTCTGTGTGCAGGAGGAATTGCAGGAGGTGCTTTTTTTGTAAGCACGGGTTTCACCTAGGGATGTGAATGACTAGTCAATTGTCTGATAAGCAAGTGCTTATCGGATAGTGGACATGTTAGTCGACTAGTTGCTTCCCCCTCCCCTCCCCTGCTGCCTCTATCAGAAAGAGGCAGCGAAAAGTAGGGACAGGTGCACATGGCATTTCAAAGCGGCAGCACCACGGGGAGCCCAGGGATTCTCCCACTAACCCCGGGCTCCATACGGTGCTGCTGCTTTGAAACGCCAGCGGGAGCATGGGGCCAGTGGGGGACTGCTTAAGTCCCCTGCTGGCCCCGTGCTCCCCGCAGCGCTTTCACCTTTGAAATGTAGCAGCAGCCCTGGGGGCTGTTGCTACACTTCAAACACGGAGGCGCCCTTATCGACCAATCAAATAGTCGATGCAAATTGCATCCACAGTTCTGTTAGCCAGTTAATTTCAATTTAACATCCCTAGTTTCACAGGCGTGGGGGCAGCTATTCCTCTGGGAGATGGGCACGCAAAGGGGAGCCTGACCACACAGTGAGTCTCTAGCCATGAACAGAGTGTTCTTCAGGGTGGAACTCTGGGCTGTTTGGCGTACGAGGCGAGGAGCGAGTTCTCGGCAAGCATCTGGGGCAGTGAAAAGGTTTATGGCTTCTTGTGCTGGCAAGAACCCGGCCCTCCGAGAAGGACGTGCTGAGTGAGCACGCTCCAGCCCTAGTTCATAGAATAGTGTCTTTGGCTGCTAGGTTTGCTCAGCAGGGCGATGCCCAGCAGTCGTTCATGCCGGATGAGCTGGTGAGGCTGCAAGGAGGTGGTGTCTGAAAGCCGAGGAGATACAGAGAGACCTGCTCAGACAGTGGATTCCTTTCTGCGCTCTGCACTGGACACTGAGGCGTGTGCACCCAGGGCTGCCATTTAGCGCTCCTGAATTAGGTGACCAGATGGTTATTGATGGGTTTAAGCTAAGGGAAGGGTTGGTTGACACGGTGCAAGGCCTGTCTTAGGTGCACAAGTAGAGCTGTTGAGGGATCTCAGTCCTGAACTGCTGCAGGTCCTGCTGTCCCATTCCTGAGCCCCACAGCTCTGCCAGTGCAAGCCCCAGTCTGATTTGTAACACCTGTTCCCATTCCACTCCGCCCTGATCAGTGTTCCTGCTAATCTTTTCCCTCCTTCCAACGTGCGTGTTTTTCCTGCCCACATGTGGGATACATTTTATATGCACTAAGGCATGTGCGACTGCACCACCGGGGGGAAACACAAACCTCATTGTGGGTGCTTTGCTAATCGGCTGGGTGACATTGGAATCTCTTCGGACAGCTGCACAAGCACACAGCTTACAGGGAGCACTGGCCCTCATTTGCTACCAAGGCCAGACCTAGATTTTTGCCAGGGTCCTGTCAGAAAGCCTTCCCCAGTTCTACCCCATGTGTGACCTGGTGTCTGTGTAACTCCCTCCGGAGGCTGTTCTTATGCATCCGGAAGCCTCCCCTTCAGCTTTCAGTGACCACGCCACTATCCTTTGTACCACATCCCCTCTCCATGGGGTTCCTTGGGTTCTAGCAGTCTCGCTCATGCCCTCTGTGTGTCCCAGGAAGTCCGAAGGAGGAGTTGAGTTGGCTGGCTAAGCTCTAGGTCTTGGTCACAGCTCCCAGTTGAGGCGATCAGACACGGGTGTGGAGGGGAATCTGGAGGGTGGGGGAATGGGGTGGGCAGAGACCCTGGAAGATCAGGATCTTATGCACATACCTTGGTCTAACGCAGCAACTACCTGTAGCACCCCTTGTTATTCCACCCCAGTGTGTCTCTTTGAGCAGACGAGGCTGGTTCTAGCGGCCCGGATTTAGCCCGGCACTTAATCATCTGCTTCGTTTCCACTGAAGCAGAGGAAAACGAAGTTCCCGCCTTGCTGAATTGGATCCGTGCTGCATCCCGTAGTTTTGCAGTATGGACAAATGGGAACGGAGAGGATGAGCCTGTTCCCTTATGAAGGTCAGGATTTGAAAACAGGACCCTGGAATGGAAAGGCCAAGAGGCCAGCGTACTAACTCGCTGCCTCTCACCTCTGGAGGTTGTGGAAGTTACTGAATGAGTATCAGAACGTGGGTTGGAATAATGAGGGATTCACCGTACCTTGTTGGGTGGGGGGAGTGAAATGAACATTGCTTTTTATTTAGGTCATACGGCTGTTCTCCCAGTGGGATGAATAAACTCGGAGAATGGTCCTTGCCTTGGAAAAACACTGCAGAATCCACTGGCTAATATCCTAGGCCAGTGTTTCTCAAACTGTGCCCTGTGGAGCCCCAGGGGCTCTGCAGAGATGACAAACTGGAAACATTGATAGGTACAACATATACAATCAGTGGACCGCTGGGGCTCTGCATAAATTTTTACACATGCAAAGGGCTCCAGAGTCCAAAAGTTTGACAACCGCTGTCCTAGGCATTCTCCTCTTCTGCGCTCAGTTCAGATCGGCAGGCATATCCCAGCCAGTGGCTGCTGTACTTGGGCTCCATAGTCCTTGCTTTGCCTTTCTGTATGAGCAAGTGAGACTTGTTTCTGCCCCAAGATACAGGATGTTTCTGTGCCCCGAGCAGCCGCCAGGTGCTGTGGGATGACGGGATGGAGCCTGTCTGTACTTTTGTTGCTGATAGAGGGAAATTGTTCCCAGATAACCCCCAAGACCTTGTGGTGGATCAAAGCTAGGCACCGTCTTGTTTATTCAGGAGTTGCTGTGAGCTTTGCCCCCATGCCCCAGCCTTTCACTAATGTACGTGCCCCACGTAGTCATTTTAACAGTGTACATGCTTGTCTCCACCAAACAAAGGGACAAGAGTGGGATTTTCATAAAGCACCTGAATGACGTAGAAGCACAAATTCTGTTGACTTGCACTGGGGTTTGGATGAGTGCCTGACCATTACGTGGGACGTGCCACGAGGATCTCGCTGAAACTAGCTGCTGTTGTTGTGATAACGTCATTATGTGGCCTAGCTCTGAGTGATGGCGCCAAAATAATCAAGCTGTGGCTTGGGAGGGGGGGCGGGCGGGCGGGTGGCTGTGTCTGTACTGTCCTGGCAGACCAGGTAGGTTTGCATTGTGATGATACAACACTGTCACCGCCAGAAGGCACATGTTGCACCAATGCACCAAGACAGTGTATTGATGCTGTGCTCATGGCTGTGGTTTGAAATGGCTCCTCTTCCACCCTTCCCCTTGGTTTTTTCCTCTCCTCACTTTCAGCATCTCTGTCTCTGCAGGGAGCAGATCAAGAGAGTGAAGGACTCGGATGATGTCCCAATGGTGCTGGTGGGAAACAAGTGTGACCTTCCAGCCCGGACAGTGGAGACTCGGCAAGCACAGGACCTGGCCAGAAATTACGGAATTCCCTACATAGAGACGTCAGCCAAAACCAGACAGGTAGGAGGAGAGATGATTATAAAATGTGAACCAATAGCAGTCTCCCAAGGCTCCTATTTTACATACCTACAACTCCTGTATTCGTGTGGCCCTCCCCACACTAAGTGTAGCTTCTGCTCTGTTTCTTTGACAGTCCTGCTGGGTTGCGTTGGTTGGGGCTGGTGGTATTTCTCACCCCTAAATCCAGACAAGAATATCTCCTGGCAATTGCCAGAAATGGGGGTGTGGCCATGGTATGTCCTGAAAGCCCAGGGTTCTGGAATCAGGGTGTTGGTGGGGAAACAAGTGTGACCTTCTAGCCCGCTCTCATGGAGACCTGGCATCGAAGTGCTGAACTTGTCAGGCTACGCCTGCCTGTCTGCTTACCTCCTCGTCTCAAAGCTTCATCCCAGTGTGGTAGCTGTAGCTTGGCCAGAAGAAACCACCTCTTCTGCCCCTCTCACAGCTGCTGTCTGCCCCTCGGTGTGTGGTATGAGGAAACAGTCGCTCAGCTCTTGGTGCAGACTTGCTGTGAGCCGGGTGACAGACAGCAGCAGGGCTGACGCACAGCCCTGTTGGCAGAGCAACACGCTCTTGCTGTCAGGCAAGCAGCGCTCCGGTGGCTAATTACACAGCATACCAAGCTGAGCCTCTGACAGCTCTGACGTACCACTGAGTGAGCGTGGATTAGAGAAGGCCACCGCTGACGGTGGCTGAGCGCAGTCGGGATGCCGGGATGCAGCCAGGTTGTCCATCCTGGGGGCTGGCTGAGGTTTGGGTGATGGTGCTGGGGGCTTGTGCAAAGTTGGGGTGATCAATCCACAGCCGGTGCTGGAGATCACTCTCCCTGCACCATTCTGGCAGACCAGGCAGGTTTGCTTTGTGACGGTACGACGCTGTCACCGCACGAAGGCCCATGTTGCACCAACACACCAGGATAGTGTATTGGTGCTGTGCTCGTTGCTGTGGTTCACAGGTTCCTTGCAGAGTTAATGGGCCCAACAAGTGATCTGATTAACACTGACCTTGCGCTACCCAAAGCTGTTCCAGATCTAGCTCCGTCTCCCAGGTGCTAGGCCTGGGAGAACATGGGAGGTTATGGGGAAATGGCCACCTCTTCTCTGCCTCCCCTCTCTCAGAAGAAGCCTATTTTAACTTCTCTGCTGAATCCATGCCTTCCTGGTGCAGGTGCCTGGAGATGGCAGAAGCGGCGAGTGAATTATTGTGGCGCTCGTGTGCCACATATGGGGTGGCGGAGAAATGCCGATGGTCGGAGGTGTCTGTTGCCACCTCAAGACTGTTCCAGCGGAGAATTCCTCTCCCTGTCCCAGTGAGCCTGTTGAGTCCCCTGCCCGGCGTGGCTTGCCCGGCCCGTGGGCTCTGGTGGGGCGTGGAATGGAATGCGCAGGCTGGAAAGGTGTGGCCACGGATAGCCTGTGTAGAGTAGGTCTGCCTCTCCAGAGCACTTGGATGGGTGGCTCCACTAGGAATTCTAGCAGCCTCAGCCAAAGGCCTGGGATGGACTAGGTCTCCTTGGTGCACTAGGGGGTTCCTGCAGGTCAGGGTTGAGGCCCACTTGCAGGGCGTTATGGGGACGCTGCTTGTCCTTTGGACAAAGGGAGGAGTTTGTTCCTCAGGGCCCTCGATCTGGGACATTTGGCCAACACCAAACTCAGGGAGAAGATTACAAAGGAGGGTTAAAGCCACTCACATGCTGCAGCTGGGGTGGTCCTAAGATGGCTTGAGAAACAGATGGTTTCCAGAGCACCTCTGTGCAGATTCCGTTTGGTATATTGCCTATGCTTTGGGTGTTGCTGACCCGAGAGGGAGAGAGGAGATGCAGACACTCGTGGGCAGGAGTCTGGGGAGGGGGTGTGGGAGTTCGGGCCAGAGCGGGCTCAGGGCTAGGTCAGGGGGTGGGGGAAAGTTAGGGTGAGGGAGGAGGCGCAGGGCTCCCAGCAGCTGGCATGTCCCTGTGGCCAGGGGTCGGGGAAGGATGCGGCTGTACGTGCTGCCCTCACTTGCCAGCATCCCCGCAGCTCCCATTGCTCGTGGTTCCAGGCCAGTGGGGTGGCGCCTGCAGCCAAGGGCAGCATGCAGAGGTTCCCGGATGGCTGAGCCAACCCTCGCAGCTCCTGCCCTGCAGTGGGAGTGGCAGGGGAGGGCCAAGGCTCAGGGATTCTGGTTCATGGCAGAGAGACTTGCAGGGGGCTGATCCAGGTTCCCCACCCTGCGGTATGTTCACTGCATAGCTGGCAGAGCCTGCGTTGTTTTGCTACCCTCCTGGTCCAGCTGCTCCTGCAGACATGCACTTCATACGCACGGGTGCGGTTTTGTGGGGAAGGGGGGGAGGGGACTCTGGTTTGGAGGGTTCGAGATGGGGAAACCGGCAGCAAGCTCAGGGTTGAGTGCAAGTATAATTGCGAGTGGGATCTCCTGACCATTGTTTTTGGTGTCTGGAGAGGGAGCCTCCATTTCCTTTGGTAGCTTGGTGGTTGTGCGCCACGTTTTGCTAGTCGGAACCATTTCCTAGGATTTCTCCAAGATTTCTTTGCTCTGTTTTCGTCCCTTTAACTCAGAGTCAAAACACACGTGAACTACACTCTGCACTTTCTGAAGGGGGCTTCAGGTGGGCCTCTCGTTCTGTCTGCCCTCAACACCATCCTCTTTCCAAATTGCTGTGGCACTCTTTGTGCAGTACATTGTGCCTCTCTTCCAGGGTGTTGAAGATGCCTTCTATACCTTAGTGCGGGAGATCCGGCAGCACAAACTACGCAAGCTGAACCCCCCGGATGACAGTGGCCCAGGCTGCATGAATTGTAAATGTGTGATATCATGACTAAGGTGAGCCCAGTGGGAAGGGGAAGGAGCATACCAGATGGGTGTGGACTGCAGCTAGACAGGTGATGCAGGCAGGGATTCATGGGCCATATACCAGGCTGCAAAAAAGAGCAGATTATTTCACTGCAGCTTCCAACCTCCCCACCCCCATGCTCATCCCTGACCCCCAAAAAAAGCTGATTGGCCAAAACAAACATTTCTCAGAAAACCCTGGGTCACAATTTTCTGCCGTTTGGTTGGTTTGTTTTTTATGAAAAACAAAATGATTTTCATTACCAAAAATGCAATATTGCTTTAAAGATTGTGTGTTAAAACTGACCATTTTTTACTAAAAAAAAAACTAGGATTTTTTTCTATTTTTTTTGTATTAAAAGAAAAAATGTGGGAGACATTTTTTTCTGCGGGGGAGGGGGGAGGAAGAGAATATCCAAACATTTTCACAAATTCCCATGAAAAGTTATCCGCCCGCTCCCTGGTCTCTAGCTGCAAATGAAGTTCTGTTCCATTACTCCCCAACGCTTGCAGCCACAAAGGGGAGGGGGAGGAAGTGGGCAGCTCAGTGATTCCCTGGTACCCCCTAGGGATGTGAAAGGTTAACTGGTGTAAGCCCTGCTGCTTGTGGTGAGGGACGGCTCCAGCTATCGGCGCCCTGGCCACCAGCATGGAACGAGCATGGTGGCTGTCGCCCTCTTCCTGCTGGGTGGTTACCCTGGTAACAGGGCCCCCTCGCAGCAGTGTCTGAGGGAGCCAGGGCTGAATGGGTCTGGGAGACTGAACTAGGCCTGTTGCTCTTAAGGGGTTGAAGCCTGCTAGTCAGGGAAGCTGGCACTGCTGCTGTCTCTGGTGTGCCTCTTCCCTGGGTATCAGAGCTCTCCAGAGCTGTGGCGCCATTTCCTTTAATGGGTACTAAGTTCCCAGAAAAAGCTGGGTTTGGCCAGTTTCAGGACTGCTCAAGGAGGTGAGCGGAGTGTGAGGCAGCTCTCCTCCTCCGCTGCCTCTCCGAGCACGGCCGCTGACGAGTCTGTGAGCTCAGCAGAGCTCTTCCCCTAGTTCCTCCTCCCCAACCACCTCCCCTTCTCTACACACACAAACAGCGGCGCACCCGCCCGTGCTGAGGACAGAGTAGATCCTCGGAGGGGATCTCCCTCGTGCGGGGCCGAGTGCAGCTATGGCTGTGGCGGGAGGTTTCCAGATGTTCAGATAATCCAGATGTTCAGAAGCATTTCCTCCGGATGGGGATACAAGTGGTGGGGCTCCTTTCCTGCGCTGGCGGTGATCGTTTTCAGCTGAAAGCACACAGATAGCGCCAAACATCTCCTTGAACTGCCATTCCCCTTGGCCTCCCCAGGAAGGGTATTGCTGCCAAAGCAGGAGCGGGGCTAGTGTCCCTCGCTGACGTGGGCATGCTTTTCAAGGGACCTTGAACTATTCTGTGAGTTCTCCACATCCCATGGGCAGTGGAGAGACTTTACTGCTGCAAAGCTCACGGTGACATAAAACTGGTGCCTAATTACAGGGCAGACCACAGAAGCCCATGCGATACTGCAGCATGTCTGCTAGGCTCTGCTTTCTTCTGCATGTAGAAAGAGCCACTTTTCCTTTATTTATTTGCAGTGTAAACAAACTTGAGCCCTTGTGAAAAAGAAACACTGCGTAGATGGGTTTTTTAAATTTACCTTATCTTTAAGTTTTAGGGTTCACACAGGGAGGGGTGACACACCACCACACACACATGGGGAGAGGTTACGCACGCTCACACACCTATCCACCTCTATCACATACGGCAATGGTTCCCATCCTTAATTGATATTGGTCCTGCAAACTCATTCACAAACTTTTGGTGGCCCAGTAACATTTTATTTGCATATTCATTGTTTGCATAATAATGAATATGCAAATAAAATGTTACTGGTCCCCAAATGCCAGTGTCAGCCTCCTGCCCCTTAGAGCTCCCCCCCTCACCAAATCCCCCCCAGCCTCCTGGTTCCAGTGCCCCACTGCACCCAACCCCCCAGACCCTCTCCCCAGTGTCAGCCTCCAATATTAACCCCATCCTCAGAGCCCCCCAGCATTAGCCCCACCCCTGGAGCCCCCAGTGCCTGCCCCGCCACCCTTATCTAGGCCAGCACTTCTCCTTCCACCACAGCTGGGAGAGGCATGTCCTGCCCTGCCTCTCAGCCAACCAGTGCTGGGCGAGAGTGGGGTCTCCTCTCAGCTGTGGAAGAGCACTTCCCTGTGTGGCAGGAGGGCCTGCCCAGCATTGTTTGTGAGTTAGCCCAAGCCATGGTCCAGCGGTTGGGAACCACTGACATTGGGGAATGACCCTCCCTGCCCGGCATCCTCTTCCCTCTACGCCTGGCTGGGCCCCCAGGATGGAGCAGCCTCTCCTGGTAGCCGATACTGCATCTTCCCATCAACATGTGCGGGGGGCCCACAGGGTCATACAACATGCCCCTGCCCATCCCAGATTTCTGCCAGGGTTCACACTGGAGTGTGGCCAGCAGCAGCCTGTCAGCACGGAAGGGAAGGAACAGGAGCTGCTTCCAGTTGCAGGGAAGGAAGATGAGGGATGGAATGACCCGGCCTGTGTCTTTGCCCGTGTGGCTGAAAGCAACTTTTCCCTGCCTCCCTGCACAGGCTGCTGCTGGCCACCAGCATAACCCTGCAACTTCCTGTCTCTCCTTGTGCATCAGATCCCAGGGAACCTGACTGCAGGGGCTCGGTGGCTCAGCGGAGGAGGGCACCTGTCCCATGCTCCCTTGGGGCAGGACCTGGGATGGGGGCGGGGAAGAGGCCCCTGCTTCGTTGGTTGCAATGGAGCCTGCAGATTCTGGGCCCAAAAAGGCTGGACATCGCTCTTCCCCCTCCCCAAAGGCTACTCCAGGGCTTAGCCCAAGGGAGTTAGGTACCCAGTCCCAGCATAAAACCCCATTCAGCAAAGCAGCCGCTTGCTCTGCAGCGCGCATGTTTCAAGTCAGGCACGTGCTGTGCCACGTGGGGACTAACTGCTGAAAAACGAACCTGCGCTCCTGACCCCACCCTTCTCCAGCCCTCGTTCCCTCTGCAGCCGGTAGTGGGAACAGACGGGCCGGGGAGCAGCTAGCGGAGGGTAGGGTAAGAATAGCTGCTGATTCTAGTTCCTCCTCCCCCTTTTCATTTCAGTTGACCAAATGGTGACTCGGAGGGGTTCCCACTGTGCGGTGCACGCGGACAGAGGTGAAACACAAGAAGCAGCAAATGGATCCGGGGGAGGAGGGAGATGAGTAGGAGGAAGGTGTCTGGAGTCCAGCAGGGACTGTCTCTCCCCAACTCCTTTTGCCTCCCCCTCTCCCAGCAACTGTACAAAGCCACAGATTGAATCACAGTAAATTATTATTTGATGGTCTCGCCAAATGGTCTCGGTGGGTCTGTCCTACTGCAGAGGCAGCTGTTGCTGCGGCTGGCTTTTGTGGGTGGAAGGTGGGGTGGGGGTGAACTATTCCCTCCTACTAGCAGAGACACCCAGGTTGGAAGATGGGGCAGCCAGCAGATTTGAAGGTGGCTCTGCTGAGCATAACCCATCTGTTATGGAACCTGTTTGTGATTTTCCTGGCAGTCAAAGCATCTCGTTTCTAGGAAAGGTCGTGTGGTCTGGGGACCAGTATGACTATCCTTTGATCTCCAGAGAGAGAAAACCTCTTCAAAGCACCATCCACAAAGTAGGTCCTCCACTAACTGAAAACTACCAGTTCCCATGGGTTTTGTTTGCACTAAGGCTGTTTTGAAGGTGGATGCTGCTCCAAAGAGGCAGAGTTGTCTTGGTTCACCACCATCGCTGCTATAGTGCTGCTCTCTTGCCCCTTCCCAGGAAGTAGGAGCTGTCCAGTGAATGTCTCAGCAGGGAGCTGAGTTTGGGTCTGGGTTCCCTGGGGCTGTGCTCAGACAGATGTGATGTCTGTGGGGCAGAGGCGGCATGTATCTAAATCACTGCCCCGCCTCTGGGGGCGTAAGGAGTGGGGTCACGTTTGCTGTGAATTCTTAGCCTTAGTTTTACAGAGCCAGCCCCAGGATTGACAGTGAGTTGCTTTCTGCTGCTGTGATCAGATCTCCTCAGTGAGCACTTAGAGGCAGCTGGAGCTGTTTGCATTCCTGGTCCTGGGGAGTGGGGAGGAGAAAAGCTGTGGAGAGTGAGTGTATCCACAGCCGCTCATCGACTTGGCCACGTTAAACTGCTCTTGCCTGGGGTGGGGCTGATTTGGTCCATGTGACTGTTTGTGAAATGTTTGTACGTTTTGTTCCTTGCCAGCCTCTTCCTTAGCAGCAGCTGGCTAGCTGGGACTCCACTGTGTGTGTACAGCTAGGAGCCTGCGACAGTCACAGACTGTATATAAATGTGACTATTCCAGGGGAGCAGGGAACAAAAGGAATCTACTGTGTTCAAGCTTCTTGTGAGACATAAACCAGAGAGAGGGGGGTCTAAAGGGGTTTTACTGATTGTCTAGGAATGATACAAACACCAGCCAATAATTTTGTCTTCGCCAAGACAGCAGGGAATGAGATTGTGGGGCTTCCCAGGTGCATGGGATGCCTGCATTGTAGCCGGTGGTGCTAGAAATGCTTAGGTGGTTATAGGGCCTTGTTGCTGGAGTGGGAGCAGAGCCTGAATCCCAGGGAACCGTGCTCTGGTTTGTTTGGTTCCTTAACCCCAGGGCTGAGGAGTTGTGGTGATGACTGATTATGCATTTGCTTTACCCTGTTGATGCTGAGCTGGGGGAGGGGGATTAGAGGGTTTTCAGAGGGAGGGGGCGAATGCTGCCGCACAGGGAGGGGTTAGCCAAGGAGAGTGAGTTCAAGATGGAGCTGTGACTCCCAGGATCAGTTTGCACCCTCAGAAGCCTGATGGACTTGGGTCCTACTGTACCACACGGCATAGTGTGCAGACCCCTTGAAGAGCTGCAAAAGGACCTCAGGTTGTGACCTCGCAAAGTCCAGGAAGCCTGTGCCCTGGGTGGTGGCACAAGGCATGTACATACTGAAGCAGTTTGCCACAGCGCTCTGTGCATCAGCCAGGGGTGCCTGGGTATCTGCTGCCCTGGGCACCCTCCACTTTTTCCCCCTTTTGTGCAGGTGGCAGCCTAGCTCCCTGGGCTGTACCCCAGGAATTGCCGGGTGCAGGGAGCGGCCAGCTGTTCGGACACAAGAGTTCATGGCTGTGTCTGACCTGGCCAAGCATGCGACTGGCTCTTCCAGGGCTTTGTTGTTCAGGCTGTTGTGCAGCAAGGCTCGTAGTTGGAACCACACTGGCCACAACAGGAAGGCTTTTAGACCACAGACTAAGGTGGGCCCAGCCTGAGCTGTGGTGTTCACACTTTTCTCTGCTCTGCTCCCTCTGGCTTCTGAGAGCCGCAGGCTTGCTGGGGCTTGCAGCTGCAGGTGTGAGCGGGGGGGAGGGCTGAGACAGACAGTTGCTTGATGTGATGATCTCTATCAGGAAGGGTGGTCAGGTCATAGGGCAGGAGAGATGGGGACACAACTGCTTGCTGAAATACAGGCTGCTGTGCCAAAGAGGAAAGCTCTGAGAACTCATCTGTCTGCTGGGAGCCTGCAGCTAGTTACAGCTGGGGGAGGTGGGGGGTTTGGGACCCATTGTAGGATTCCAAACTGCAGTGGCTTCATTTACATGTAGGGGAGCTGTCTTTCAACAGGCCCAGGCAGACTGGGGGCTTGCACCAGGTAGCACCCTCCCCAGCTTTGGAGAAGAGCTGGTGGCTAGAAGCTCCCAGCCTGATGCTGAGCATGCCTGAGAAGCAGACACACCACAGCTGCATGTGAACTGAGGCACTACCCACCCTACAGCCTTCAAAGGGGTTTACTCAGCATCCCCCCTCTGTGATCTGTGTGCCTCTTGCAATACTGCCCCCCTTCCCCTGTGCCACATGGCTTCCTGGCCTGTGCAGGGTTCAAGCAGGCTGCAGCAGGGACTGGACTCCGAGCTGCCCTTCCTTTCGCTGCTGCAGCCTGGGCACTGGAGCCTGGCATAGTCCAAAGCTTTGCTGTCTGTCGTGGCTCCACTTCAGCATCAATTATTCAGTGCTGACTCACTGATTGGTGGATGGGATGCAGCAGTCAATAAGCTCCTAGCAACCTGAGCTGACAGGGATCAACTACCTTGGGTTCTGTTGCGGTCGTGCCCCAGACAGCCGGGAGCCCGAGCGATGCACTGAGACTCCCCATCAAGGTAAGACCTGACCTGCTCTTTGTTCTGTTTCTCCTCCGTGCTGAGGTCAGCTCAACTCTAGCGTGGGCCAGGGCCGGAGCAGGCTGTGCCTGAACACCGAGCTCCAGCAGAGTTCGGGCTCTAACAGGGGCAGGGCCCCCATGGCTGCAAGTGTCCTCTCTACAGCAGCTTTGCTGGGCTGCAGGATGGTGCATCTTGCAGTGAGTTACTTGAGGGACACTTTAGCCCTCAGCCTTCCCAGGCCAGTTAACCCTGGGGCTGCAGCAGTGGATGCTCCTGGCCCAGGCTTTCATGAAAGCTCTGCACCCAGCAGCTCCCTTTGAGAATGAGAGGATTCCCCACCCCAGCTGAAAACTCAGCTGCTTTGGCAGTCTGCTGCCTCCTGTACACAGAGCACTACTATTTGCATGAGGGAGCTCTGCTGGCTGCAGACAGTCCCAGCAGCTGCTCCCCTGAACTGAACTTGGCTTAGACCTGCAGGAGCTTACCCCCTGCTTTTACAGGGCCCACAGGCTCTTTGGGGAGTAGACCCTCTTGGACATGTAAGCTGAGGGGGTAGGACTGGATATGCCAGTTCTGTTTTGTGAGTACAAGCTCAAACCACTATGAGGCCTTCATTAGAATAAAATGGCCATACTGGGTCAGACTAAAGGGCCACTGTTTGAAGACTAGATCGGGGGCAAGCTGGACAATACCAGATGCCCCAGAGGGAATGTACAGAACAGGGAATAATTACTGGAGCCATCCTGTGGCCCATTCCCAGCTCCGGACAAACAGGCTAGGGCCACCATTCCTGCACATCCTGGCTAATAGCCATCGCTGACCTCCATGAATTTATCTAGCTCTCTTTTGAACTTTGTTAAAGTCCTGGTCTTCCCAACATCCTCCAGCAAGTTCCACGGGCTCATTCTGTGTTCCATGCATCGGTGAAAGTGTCTTCCACTCTCAGCAGGGCAGGTCATGGATGAGAAGCTCTCCTAGGCACTAACACTACAGGAACCACCAGTCCTACAAGGGCTCCCAATGTGTGGGGCAGGGGGAGAAGGGCTGCTGAGGTATCATAGGAGGGCCTCTATTGCTAAAAGGGAGGGGGTGGAGAACTAGTGCACTAAATGGCCAGTACCTGACTCAAGGAAGGACAGTGGTAACTTGGGGACCAGGTATGGCTTTTGTGTAGGGAGAATCAGTGGTGCCAGGGGATGGACAGAGGCTTGTTCTGGTGGCTAGTGTGGCTGTGGTGCCATCTGTTGGTTGTAGTGTTGCACTGTGATATGCTAGAGCAGGGGCTCTCAACCTTGCACGATTACCATACCCCCTCTATTAGGAATCAGACTTACAACATACTTGCATGTTTCTCCTTTTGAAACCACATACTAGTACTGGAAAATGGTTGGCTGGCACTTACATTTTAGTAGAGCAGTCCTATTCTTGTATTAAATTTTAGCTTGCACTGACAGCACCAGGACTTTTTATATAGCCACTTATAAAACTAGAGTTAACATATGCCTGGTTGAAAACTAGTGCCACAGAACATGCTGATACTCTGTGTGTGACAATAGCCTCTTCCTGTCCTTCCAGCTGTGTCCAGGCCTTGGGGTATACCTTGAAGCAGCCTTGTCATACTCAGCTGTGAGGAAAAATAAGAGGGCTGCAATGTGGCTACTGCACTTCAATGGCTCAGCTATAGGGACAGTGTAATGTGAGTGTGCCAAAGTTTGCTAAGAACCTAAATAAGGGGGACACAATCCTTCGAGGGTCTAGTCTCTACCAATGCAGGTGTCTGGCTATATCTGCTTGGTGGGTCCTTTGAGAAAAGGGGCACTGTGATTGCGCTCCCCTTAGGCTGAGCCAGGCAGTTGCAATGAATGGTTTCCCACCATCCTTGCCTCTCCTCTGGTAAAAATCTTCAGAGAGGTAACCCTGTTAGTCTGTAACTGCAAAAACAAATAGTATCAAGGTGCTGCGAGGGTTACGTTCATCAAAAGTGGGTGGTGCCTATGAATACTCATGATACCATCTACATGTTTTGTTAGTCCCTAAGGGGCTGCTAGACTATTCATGGTTCTTAAATTTTCTCCTCAGGTCATCTGCTGTGTCCCAGCCAAGCACAGAAGTGTGGCCTTTGTCCTATATAATCAGACAACAGCCTATGCATGGACAGACTAGCAGTGCAGAGAGTGGAGGTGTCACCTAGAAAGCATTATGAGACTATAAACTTAGTATCTGAAACTGCAGCAAGCCCACTGCACACAGGATTACTTGTAAGAAGGGGCAGGACACAAGACTGAAGATAGGGGCTGGGGGAGGGTTTCGACTAGTCACAAGAACATTAGCAAAACCAAGCTAAAGAACTAACCCAGACCCAGCCTCTGAGGCAGGCTCAGGAAGGAGGCTGAGGGATCTCTTAAACCCAGTGCAGCTCTATTACAAGCAACACTGCCAATGGCTCTCTGTATTGCCGAGGGGCAGCAGGGATGGCTGCGCACAGAGCTGTCCACGTATTTGAGGACAGTGGTTTCGCCTAAGGCTCAAGGGCTTCTTGATTCCACGCTGCTAGTAACATGCTCTTATGTCCTTCCCACCTAGCCTCTCTTATGTGGACAGATCGGGGACAGGACCAAGGCAGTGGGGGGAAGATTTGCTGTACCTGTTCTTGCACAGCAGAGATGAGACATCAAGTGCCAACCCCTCTCCTCAGCCCTGAATGCAAAGAGAAAGAGCAGCCCAGTCCCACGATGAATGGCTCTCAGAGCTGTGCCCTGAAAGCAGGAAGCCTCCAGTTCTAACTACAATAATTGTATCCAGAACACAGGACCAGGGGCAGGCAGCTTGAGGTCCAAGGAGATGGGAAACTTAAGATTTTGGTTCTAACACAATGAAACAAGCAGACGGTGCAGTGCATTGTCCTAGAAGAAAATATGCTGCAGCTGTTTGTTAAACTTCAACTGTTATTACAACCATGTAAAACAGCATTGAACACTACATTGTCTGTCTGAACCAGCATAAAAAGGAACAAGCATTTTGCTTTTCAAACTCCCTTACAAAAAAAAAGCACATACATAACAATGTTTTAAAGTAATAACAATACATTAGAATCACAAAGGAAGCTCCCCATGTTGTAAACAAAAGTAGCAATTGGAAATAAAAGCCAATGGTAGCAGATCTCTCAAAGTGCATCAGAGACACACCAGCCCTCTAAAGTCCACTGAAACGCAAAGGTCACGGTTTCCTGAACTCTGGTGCTGTGTTCCTGCCACAGGGCTGTACAGCCTCTGCTCAAAGTGCTAGTTCACCACACACAAAAAAGCCTGAACACCAACAATACTACTCTTTTAAAACTAAATATATATCAGCTAAGTAAAAGTAACCTTGGCGGAGGAAGCTGTTTTCCTGAGTTTGCATGAAATAACACTGGCTTTGCCATCCAATTGGGGGCATCCTAGGAATTACACATTATTTGTAGGAAGTGTCTTTGAAATTTGTTCCCTCTCCTACAGCGTGAGTCCTCCTGGTTGGTTGGAGCTAGTCTCTCTACTCTCCTCCCCCCTCCCACCCAAAAAAAGTGAAGATGGGCATGATTTCTACTCCTGCACAGCTCCCTACCACGCCCAGACACCACAATGGCCAGAACCGACCTAAGCCCTTGGGTTCCATTGGAAGTTCACTGGGTCCCCCTAGTGATGGGGGGATGCCTGAACTTGACATGGTCATTAGTAACAATAGAAATGGAAACATGTAAGTTGATTTGTATGTACAATGTTACCTTCACAAACAAACTACCACCGCCAGCCTAGAAATCAGGCATTGCTCCAATGGTACCAACCCGTAGCAGCTGACTGGCTGTTGAGGTCCTCACAGGACAGCCAGTAAAGCCTTTGTGCAAAGACACAGATGAAGAAAAAAGTCAAGAGTTTCCACTGTGAATTCACAGCAACTCCTACTGCTGTGGTAGAATTGTCACAGCACTGTGGCTGCAGCTCCTCGCTTCCCCTCAGAAATACGCTGTCCCAGACCAGGCAATTGGCTTTGCCTTCTAGCTGCATTTCAGAGTTAAGTCCAGAAGGCAGCAAATGAACCCGGTTAGAGCAGGGCAGTGGGGGGAAGGGGTGGAGAGGGAGTTGACCAAACAGTGCTCAACTGAAGACACTACAGGCACTTCTCGTTTACTGAGGATGAGGGATCCCTGCCCCCGGTGCTGCCTCATTGCTCATGGTGTGCTGTGGCCTGGGCCTCCAACTATGGCACTATTTTGTCGAAGAGGGTGGTGATCCTAGGCAGTCTGAGCTTAAGTCCACTGCTCTCTTCCCACTGATGTCAGCACATCATGGAACAGGTGCTAAGCCACATCCCCTCCCCTCCAAGCAGTGCAGTAGCATGGCCTTGCAGTTGCTTAATGAGCCCCACACAGCCCAGGGGCCCTGGGCTCCGTGCATGGAGGTGCTTGGCTGGGGGAGGGGTGCTCCCCACCCCCACCAGGCACCTCTGTGCGTGGAGCCCAAGGGGGGGGTGCTACTGCACAGCTTGGAGTGAATCTTAGTGCTAAGTGTCCAATTGGCACTTGGCCTGCCCAGGTAACATTCAGCATCTAAAGACCATCGCCATGCGAAGTGTGGATGACGAGAGGACCTAGATGCCCTCCCTCTCTGAGCTCACCATGCCTACAGCCACCTGCACAGGCAGCAGACACAGTGGGGAGGAAGGTCAGGCTGGCCGAAGAGTGAAGGTGAAAGGCTCTAATCTGTGCTCGCATGTATGAGCTCAGCTCCCACTCAGGTGAGCGGAAGTGACGTGAGCTTAGAGGAGAGGGCAGATCCCAGCAGACAGAAACCAAGCCCAGTCGTGCACTTGCTCTCCATTTCCTGCCAGCTTCTGGAGCTCAAGGGGGACACGCTAACGAAAGGCCATCACTCCTCCTGCTGCACTACTGCCTGGGTGTGCAAAGGGCTGGGGGAGGTTGGTCTCCTTCCTATAAAGCATCAGCCATGACCGGAGGGGAGACACAGGACAGAGTGAAGCTGGGCTCCGAGGTGGTGCTGAGCCTGCTGCTTTTCAGCTGGCTTGGCTGCTGGTTCTTGCTCACATGCTCAGGGTCTAAATGGCCACCAAAGGACCGTTCTGGCCCACATCTCTAGGACACATCTTTGAGCTGATCCAAAGCCCATGAAAGTCAATGGGAATCTTGCCACTGACTTCGCTGAGCTTTGGAGCAGGCTCCTGCCCCCTATCTCTCAAAGCATCCCCAGGTGTAGAAGGAGGCATTGCCTGTAGTTAATTCTTCAGAATCAAGCTCCCCATTACAAAGCAGGATGCAAGAACCATACCCAGAGTGCGCGCTACTGAACTACGGTCATTCAACTTCCTGCGCCAGAAAACAGCACTAGCGATTTTCCCCAGGATGCTGGGCTTCATCAATACAGACTCTTTCCTCAGGAACTGTAAATTTGCCTTGAAAGAAATGTCTTCCCCCCCCCCCCCCCCCTTCTCTTTGTTCTCCCAGGCAAGATATTTGCATTTCTGGACCACGGGCTTTAAGCTTTGCAGGAAAGCCCTCCTCTTCGGAATCTTTACGCCAACGTTTCCTCTCTTGGCGGCGGCTCATGCTGCTGATTTGCTGCCAGGTTAACTCCAGGGGGAGCTGAGTCAAACAGTCCAGCAGTTTGCCACCTTCCTTCCCAACTCCAGTGTGGTTTCTGCACTGACGCTTCAGCAGCTCAATGCAGGGACCAGTTAAGGTGAGAGACCATCCCAAATCCTGTTACACTCTCAGGGCTTGTTAGCTAAAGCAAAAGACCAGCCAGGGCACTGCCTCTGCCACTCAAATAAGAATGCCTCCTGTTTTATTAGCACTGCTACACACCGATTGGTCATTTGGCAAGGCAGTGGGGGCTTGCTCACTGTCATGGCTTCATGGAGCAAAACAAGAGCAGACAGGCATTTTGGAAAACTGATTGTAGCTCTGCTTTGACTCTCCCTCCACGTTACACATGTACAGCCCTGTCTCACGAACTCAAGCAATGCAAACAACCATTGAGTGGATTGGCACAAACGGGCAGGCTGGAGAAGCCCAGCACACGCCCCTTTCTCAGCTTGCTTTCTATTCACATCAAAAGTTAACTTTACTTTTGGTCCACTCCTCGCTACAGTTCAGCCCCGAACAAACCCCCCAGAAACAGAAGAGGGCTTTAGCACACAGCAGTCGACTTCCCTGCAAATGGTAAAGCGTGAAGAATAGGCATGTTACCCTGGCCTGTTGCACACCAGCTGAAAAGATGCCCAGCCTTTTCCCCAGGACATGAGCAGCGCGCACCAGGAATTCTGGACTAAAGCTGGATGTTGCATAGACTTTGTGGAAGGCTGGCTTCCCTGGTAAGAATACTCAGTAGCCGTGTTTGAAGGATTACTGGCAATGAGAACTTCGGAAAAACCTATTGCTGCAAAGGCCATTAGAAAAAATGCTACTGGCCACACTGAGCAAGTGCTCATTGGTAAAGAAGGCCCCTCTGTCTGTCTGTGTCTCCCAGAGCTTCTCTGTTGGTAAGAATGACTCTGAATCCTCTATGTTGTATCTGTTCCCACATTCACAGAAACTAAACTCTGGCTTAGGAGACCACGCTCTTGGGTTTATAAAAACGATGGGGGGAAACAGTCAAAATACTTAGCATGTTAACTAGCTTTGCGCCTCTCTGCACATGAGCAGGGGAGAAAGCACTTTGTGATTTTTCCAAACCCCCCCAGACTTTTTAACCCCTCTGGCACCAATACATTGTCTGTTGGCCACAGGGCCGATTCCATGCCACACGCTGCCCCCCAGCACTCGTACCAAACGCAGCTTGGCACAGGATTGCCTCCTGTCCTCTCTACCCTGGGCTTTTCATTGCAAACCTTTACAAGGATGTCTCATGAATAGACAATGCAATTCTATTGTTTCTTTCCCCTCCTCACCCCGACCCCTGCTAAAATGTCACCGATTTGGACATTTGCATTGCAGAAGGGCAGGCTGGATAGAAACTGTTCTCTGAGTGGGCTTTGGCAACCTGGGGCGGTATTTTTGGCTTTGGGCTTAGCGTGGGACGGGGCTCTCTCAATGCATTTAGAGATTTCTGCGCATTCCGACTGGCAGCCAGAGCCTCGTGTTCCACAGCCGCAGGACGTGGGCCTCCATCAGCTGCTGTAAGGGTGGCCCGTACATGATGACCGCCCTCTTGCAAAGGCAATGCCATACTTTTTTGGTTCGAGAAGTCCTGCTCCGTAGCATGAGCCACATGAAGCGGGGTGTTTGTCTTTACTATTCTGTAGGGGCTGAACTGCCCTTGTAAAGCCGGGGATGACAGGGGTCGGTCATGTAGCCCCTCTGCCAGCTGAGCTGCCCCAGAGTCAAGCATGGATAAGATCGGCACACTGCCGCCACCACCAGTCAGTCTCTGGTGAGGAAGCAAGTGGAAGGCTGGGTGGCCTGGTCCTACTGCCTGCTGCACCGAATCTGTGCTCCCTCCTGAGTGCACCCCCAGATCTGCAATCTCACCCACAGACGCAGACTTGGGGAGGGAGGGTTTTAAGTCTGGCTTGTGTTGTGGTGCTGCACCACGAAGCAGCTCTGAACTGGGCTCCCGCCCAGACGGGTTACCCTCGTTGTACTCCAATTCGGAGATGTTGTCATACTGAGAGATGTTAGAAGGCCGTCGCCTCCCATCCTGGGGAGGCAGGGAGAGAGTATCGAGCGCTGTCACCGCACACAACGCAGGCACGTGGACGGTCTCGGACACATCGCCAGGAGGAGCAAGGTTTGGTCCTGGTGTCGAGAACGAGTCTGTACTGGGAGGCCCATGCTGCTGCTCTAGAGGCGGCCCTCCTGCCAGCAAAGCCACAGAGAAGTGGGGAGCACTCGCGTCGTCAGGACTTGAGGCACTTTGCACGGAAGCTTCTGAGGGTCTTTGTTTGGCAAGAGACATTTGGTTTGGCGACTCCTGACCCGCTAATGTATTACTGTGAGCGACAGGCAGGTCCACTTGAGGGTTGTGGCTCTGGGTGGCAATGTCGCCGGCAGAGCTGTCCACTACTGTCCCTTTGGGTTGTTCTTGCTGCAAAGGCTGGTCTGTGTTGCCTACAGCTGGTGAGGGGCTACGTTCCGGCAGCTGCTCTTCACCTCTCCCTGCATTGAGGGTCTGAGGACTCTCTTGTGAGACAGCCTCCCTGCTCACTGGTGGTGCCTCCTGGTTCTCCAGGAGGGCCTGCACCTCAGTCTCCCCTCCAGGAAACTGCTCCTGTGATGGGGATTCACCAGCAGCTTTCTTTGGGGACTCCACCTGATTTTCTTCTCCATGCTGGTTTTCCTCTTGGTGTTGCTGCTGGCCCTGTAATGGATGCTGAGGCACATCTGTTGCGGCTGCTGGCAAGGGAGGCCCATCCTGCTGCAGAGGGAGCCTGTCGTTCGTTGCTGCCTTTGCATGACCAATAGTTTCATTCGGAGGCGCAGGGCTGTTGTTCGGAGAGGACAGTTTTATGCCTCGGCCAGAATCGAGGTCAGTGGCAGCCTTATTCTGACCATTCACTGTGAGGCTGGGCTTCAGTGCCAGGAGATTCAGAGACAGCTCCAGCCCCAGTGGTTTCTTGGGGAATTCTTCAGGTTTTGCTGCAAGGGGAGAAAAAACCACACATGCATCAAGCTCTTTTTCAAGGAGTGCTTTAACAAAACCAGCCATCGGGACGGAGCTGAACCGTGCCCAGCAAACATCAGCCCTTCAAAATGGGGGATGTGTTAGTTGCTTAGAGCAGACGGTGTTTGCCTCTGGGAACCTCCTGCCAGCCATCAGCCTGCTGAGAAAGGTGCCATTAGCCACACCAGCAACCCAGGAAGCTCCCAACCTCATTGTCCTCCTGTTCTAGCAGGTTCACTATCTAAGGTAGGACTTTCATTTATTAAACATTGAAATGTTTCGTTTTACGATCAGCTGGTGCTGGGATTTGCCACCAAAGGTAGCTTGGTGCCCACATTCCAATGGACATTTCGGTGCCTCAATTCCAGCCTGAATCTGTATTTAAGCAGACAGAAAATGGTCAGCCAACGTGTAGCTGATCATGGCCCTGCTGCAGCCTTCCTTTTTCCTGTGGAATGGTGCCTCACTCAGAGAAGTGCAACCGTGTTCCCGCATCTCCACACAGAAGCACATTTTCATCTGAATGAAATTATTAGTAGCACACATGCAGCCATAAATGAGGACAATGATTTCACTAGGGGCTACTTGCGGAATGAGACACGACCTGGCCAGCAGAGTCAGTACCAGAGCCTTAAAATGTTTACTGTTCCGTGTTGCAATTCGACAGCTGGGTTTTTATGCTGTAACTGTAGCCAGTGAAGGAGAAAAATTAGGTGCACGTCCTGAGTTTGCTCCTTTAAAAGGTACAAAGATTGGCTAAGGGCAATATTCTGCAGTCAAGTCACTGGAAAATTAAGCAGTGATTGGAGAGTGAGTGAAATGGTGGCATCACAATATAATTAAAAAGCGTGGATTACAGCAGATTGGGACATCCTTGTGCTGGGGTCTCTGCAAACACATGGCAAGAGGATGTTCCTGCTTTGGGCAGCTTGCAAACTATGCAGGCACACAGGGTGGGAGGGGAAACAGGGAAAGTGACTGGCCCAAGGTCAGAGTCAGTCAGTGGCAAAGGGGAAAGAGAAAACCGGTCTCCTGACAGCTAGTCCAGGGCTCCATCAATCTGAGCCCCTTAGCACTTCCCCAGGAGTGAAGAGCTTGAGCAGCGGAGAGAAGACGATCTGAGCCAGATCATTTCCACCCCTCTAGGCTGCTTGTTTTTTTTTTTTTATTGTGTTATTCTTCGCACCTACTTTCACTTCAGTGAGGAACCAGCTGGATGAAGGAGGCCTTGTTAAAAAAAACTAC